CCCTCGGCCTCCCCGTCTTCCCCCACCTCTAACAAATTCCTGCAGATCATATCGTCTCCGCCCGGGTCGTCCACCCCGTCCATCCAGCCAGCGTTTAGTCTCCTTTAATAGGAAAAAGAAGAAAAAGTGCTGTTCAATCCTGGTTTTAAAAGCTCAAACGCGACTTACAAGAAATTCATTTGCAACCTATTTTAGTCTTACTTATAAATTCAACTTACATTTATATTTTCAACAGATGTATTCAGGGGTCAAAAGTAGCCTTCGCATATAATACTGTCAACTTGTTGCTTTCCACATACTTTTATCAAACTTGTCAAAATAACGAATTTGTTAAGCGCGTTCAATACAGCTGAGGAATGGATAATTTCGTCTCAGCCTAACAAAATCTAGTGAGTAATTAAACCTGCGAATATCAAATGATGTCATGGATCACAGTTCTGATTGTAGTAACTCATGTTGTGCGATCAAATTGTCCCAATTTATCTACATATCTTTCGAATTGATCCGCAGGAATTCACTTAGCCAGCGGAACTCAAAGCTCTCACATGAAATTGGTGTGACTGTGGTCAACCAGCCAGTCCAACATGGCACCCAAACCCTAAATCGTACTACATTAAGAAAGAAGAGACGAGAATACTATGCATTGATGCGAATTGTCTCCTCACCTCTACTTCCTCTCTGGTTTTTGGTCCCTGTTCATCTTCCCTGTACATGTCATGTTCCCATCTGTCAGTGGTTTTGTCCCACAACTGTCTAGTCGTTGGTTTCCTTCTGTTAAGAGTAAAAGTAAATTTCATTGACTTCAAAGCATCTGTTAAACCTTGTAAAACCACATTTACATATATCAGAAGACTAGAATGTCTATCCATTTCTTGATATTATAGAAAGGTAGCACATTCTCCTCAGTTATTTTAAGACCCTGAGTGTTGATCCGGCTGGGGCTTGAAGCCTCGACCTCCTGCACAACAGTCCAGCACTCTAACCAATTGAGCTAACCGGGAGGCGGTTAAAAAACACAGCATCCTTATAGTTCCTTCTCTTTTGCTTTAAAATTTTATTTTAACATAGTAAGATTGGTATCTATTTGTTGTAGATACCCCTCGTCACACCTCATAGTCTGTGATACTTGTTTCAGTTGAGTGTAAAAACTACTTTAAAAAATTTTTAAACAACATAGGTTTCCTCTGCTGAAATAAAGTGCCAGTCAAAGAAAAGAAATCTGTAATGTAATGTTATGGTGCTGAAAACAAATCAAATTTAAATTGAAAAAAAGTGATGTAAACTTCTTTTATCCCATACATGTAACTGTAATAAATATATAAATAATAAATTAATGAAAGCACTACGTACCTTTCATTGTCAGGTGTGTCTGTCCATCTGTCATCATGCCCCCAAAATGCATCTCTGCGTGGAATAATTGCTGGGTTATTCTTTTCTTCTTCTGCCTCCTGGAGAAAAAAAACAAAACTGTAATTCTATTGACATCAGTTACTAAGGAGCTATTTTGAAAACTATGCTCACAGGGAATTTAGGACCTCACTCCATCAGTAATTAAAAGTAAGCACAATCTCAAAGAAATAAGCTTGCTGATTTCTGAAACAAAAGTGTTCTTGTGCATGCTAAAACACGTTTGGAAATTTTTTTCATTTCAAGACTCGTTTACTAAATCCTAACCCTTTCTCTCTCAAGATTTCATTAGTACTTCTCCTCACTGTCTGCCATACAGTTCTCATAAAATTATGTTACTTTGGTGAATTTGGTATTGGATCAACTAATAATTCCCTACTTGATATTTTTCTTTATTACACGACTTGAGCAGTCAGAGGGCCAATAGCTAAAATCAACCAATCAAAATGCTCTATTGTCGGTCAATATTCTGTCAGTATTGGACCGGGCACTGTCCTGAATGGTCCCAAATGATACCGCACTTGTGTCCCTTTGAACTTCAGTTGTATAATNCGTCTCTTTGCCGTAGCCGTCTCTTTGCCGTAGCCGTCTCTTTGCCGTAGCCGTCTCTTTGCCGTAGCCGTCTCTTTGCCGTAGCCGTCTCTTTGCCGTAGCCGTCTCTTTGCCGTAGCCGTCTCTTTGCCGTAGCCGTCTCTTTGCCGTAGCCGTCTCTTTGCCGTAGCCGTCTCTTTGCCGTAGCCGTCTCTTTGCCGTAGCCGTCTCTTTGCCGTAGCCGTCGGGGTTTGCTTAAAGTCCCTAATATAAGGCTGATCATCCTTGTAAACTTTCATCACGTTGCTTGTGATCCACCTTCTGTGATAAACTTTCAATCCGTTGTCTTCAGTTGAAAGCGGCTAAAAACTTGTTAAAATCCATCGTGACGATTATCCCCGAGCCGTTAAAACCAATATCTACGTCATTGTTCCATGACAAAGGACCGTGCACCCGCACAGCGCCTTAAAACAGATCCGTATACGAGCCAATGTTCTATACCAAAGTCGTCAAGAATCTTATGTACTGTATACGCCATCTTCAAAAGCTGTCCTTTTTCTTTAGAATCGAGGTATTGACACGGCTGAGCTGAGAAAAAAGGATGATTTCCGGTGTAGAGACCGTAGTTTTTTAAGTTC